GCCTGAAGCACTACATCATCTCTTATGACCTCCTCCTGCATGGGAGACACCGGAGACCCACCATAAGGAACTTCAGTGTTCCCTTGTGGCCTAGAAATGAAGCCACAGGGCTCCACTGTGAGGATGTGGCCAGCGACCTTCAGGGGAGCAAATGCTGGGACTTTAAGATGAGATTGGCTTTTGGACACTGTCCAGGTATGATGTCAGCCTGGGGCAGCCAGGGGTCAACTCGACCAGCGAGGGGAGTAGCACAGAACAGATGTCTGGAGTCAGGACCACCCTGCACTCTAAGAACTCGGGCATGTGCAGTGTCACCTCCCTGCTGTCAGGGTGGCCTCAGACTCCTGGTTTGCGTGGCAGTGTGGGTCTCCTTCCTGGAGCTCTCAGAGGGAGATCAGCCCTGGAGAGTGTCCGCAGTTGGCAGAGCACTGTGTTCATGGAGTGGGGTGTGGCGGGCTGAAAAGCTGGTGAAGTTGGGAGCCAAAGTCAACATTGTCCCTGCACCTCGGCCTCTCACTGCGGTTAGCGGGCCTCACCTCTGCACTGGAATCCTCTGCCAGCTCCAGCCTCATCATGAGCCATGTAGGTGCCCGCCGAGTGGCTCTACAGAGCCTGAGTTTATTCCTTTCTGAAACGGGTAGGATTGTATTTCTCTTCGGGGCCACAGGCTCCTGGAGACAGCTGCTGTGTATCACTTACCCAGAGCTGAGTTGCAGCAGGTACTCCAGTGGGTCGCCTCATCAGTGGGAGCCATCGTCATCAGTGGGATGCCTTGTAGTTCGGGGCTCATGGCAGGTCTGGGGGTAGGAGAGACCAGAAAGTGCCTCTTCCCAGTACCTCACGATCTTCCCATTTCCTTCTGCACCCACAAAAGCCATAGTCTGGTCAGTGGGAATTGAACTGTGGACAGAAGAGGCACCTGAATGTAACTCTGGACCCTGTTGGGCTGGCACAGCTGGGGGTGGGTACCATCAGGACCCTCCCTGTGTCAGGGCCCTCCTTCCACCCAAAGATGCCCCCAAAGGGACTGGCTGGGGTGCATTCCTTCCCACCCAGCTTCTGCTATGGTTGAAGTCACAGTTAGCATGGGCAAGCTCACTAGGGTAGCTCAGGGCCTGAAAACAGCATATCTCATGCTGGGTGTGCTCCCCAGCAACACCCCATTTTTGCCTCCCTCCAGTTTTACCTCCCCAGGCTGTTCAACAGCAGCTGGAGGCATGAGAAATGTTACTGGCACCTTGCAGGTGGTGACCATGGGTACCACTAAACACCCTACACCCAGAACAGCCCCACACATGGAGTGATGTGGCTCTGTAAGTCAGTAGTTCTGGCTGTTTCTGTTAGTACAGCTGCTAACCCAGAAGCCCAGGCTGCATGTGAGGGAATAGGAGCTGAGAGAGGTGGAACCTGCCCAAAGTCACACAGCTCATGACCAGAGAACCAGAGTTCCAACCTAAGACCATCTTATGTTGAACCTTCTCTCTGGCCCCACAGGCTCCACAGAGCCTCCCCATGAGAGGTTCCAAAATGCTGAAGGTCTCCAAGAGAAAGGGTCAGCAGGGACCTTGCCCTGGATCACCTATCTGAAGCTGGCGTCACAGGCTCCTTAGAAGGACAGGGGCTAGAGACATGACTTCTTCTCAACAAAAATAAAATGAGGAGAGAGGAAAAAGAGAGAAAGCCAAGACAGAAACACAGACAGATAGACAGACAGACAGGCATGTGTGTGTACAGATGCTCCTGAGAAAGGCCGGAAGAGGAGATTTGAAATATGGTGACCCCCTGATTCTATTAATACCACCTTGTGACCTTGGGCATGTGTGTCTCTCACACATGTACAGTGAGGATCAGCCTCCCACCCCCACCAGGGTTTGCAGAGACTTGTCCACTTCCAAAGCTTTATATGTCTGCTGCGGTTCCCCAGAGGTGGTAGCATGTAAGCAGGGTGGAAGATGATGACCTCAGCAAGGCCCTCTCCCAGCAACCAAGTGAACAGGGTGTGTGTGTGTGTGTGTGTGTGTGTGTTTGTGTGTGGCAGAGGGAGCTGCCCTGTTTTCCACTGGGCTCCTCCAAGCTCACATTATCTGACTGGCTCTTCAACTCACTCTCGTCTCTTGCCTGCAGAGATCTCACTGGATGTGGATGCGGACCGGGATGGCGAGGTGGAGAGGAACAACCCTAAGAAGGTTACTGGCCTTGAGGGTGGAAGCTGTCTCACCCTGACATGGGGGGACTTCCAGGGCATTTCAGGGACTGCACGGTGCATACGGCCAGAGCTGTCCAGCAGAGCGGTCAGCTGCCACTTCACAGGGCTGGAGGCTGAGGCTCAAAGCTGGGTGCAGATGCAACCCAGCAGGGATGGGCCCCAGACAAGCCAGGCTCGTGGTAGGGTCAGTTTCCCCAGCTCCGGCCACAGAGTGTCTGAAGAATCAATGCATCGGAGACAGATGCCACCCAGGGAAGGCATTTATTCCCCTTAGGCCTCTTCTTTTAAAATTAAAGGGGTAAGGGGTTGTGGTAGCACACACCCTTAATACCAGCACTCGGGAGGCAGAGGCAGGCCTGGTCTACGCAGAGAGCTCTAGGCCAGCCAAGGCTGTATAGTGAGACCCTGACTCGAAAATCCAGACAAATAAAGTTAAAGGAGGCTGAGAGAGGTGGCCCTTATCTGTCACCTCAGCACTCAGCGGGCAGAGACAAGAGGATCGGGACTGATGTTCATGGCCAACCTGAACAGACCCTGTCTTCTAAGAGAGAGCTCTTAAAAACAGATGGAAGTCCTGACAATCCTGCACAAAATCCTCAGGAAGCGGAGACTGTAGCTTGGTTGATGGAGTGCTTCCCGTGAATGCAGGGAACCCTGGTCTGATCACCAGCATCAGTACCGGGACAATCACGGCAAAGTCATCCAGCCCCTGTAGACCTGAATTAGTGAGAATTTCCACACCTGGACCAGTGACATTGTCACAATGCCTTTGCCCACCCTACAGATATCTTTTATATTAGCTAGTAATGGTAATGCATGCCAGAATCCCAGATCTCAGGAGGTAGAGGCAGGAGGATCAGAAGGAGTTCAAGACCATCCTCTGCTACATGGTGAATTAGAGGCCAGCCTGAGCTATGTGAGACCCTGTCTCAAAACAAGAAATTTATCTCTTATAGTCTAGGACCAGGTCAGGCCCCAGGAGCAACAAAAACCTAGAGAGACCAAAGTTCAAGGAAGAATGGAGTAGGTGACTCCATTGTAACCATCCTATGACCTGGAAGAACATATCAAGAAAGGCCCATGGACAGAGCAGGGCAGCTGCCCTGGGGACCAGAAATGCTCCTTCAAGGAGGGCCAGGTGCCCTGAGTCTAAGAAGAAGGGTGGAGTTGATTGGGAAAGAGGGACCAGCAGGGCAAAGGTCTGGGAGTTTCGATGGTACAGAAGGACGCTCGTGTGGCTAGGGCAGAGTGGGTGGAAGAGACCGGATGCAGAAGCCACGGGTCTCACCAGCCTCGTGGAAGACCAGAGAACCCAGGCTTTATCTGAGTCAACAGTGAGGGCTTCAAACAGGGAAGCAGCGTGATCCAGTTGGAGTCTGCTCCGGGTACTGTGCCCACAGGACAGAAAGCAGAGTAAGGTGGCAGCCCCCTTGGGAGCGCTCCGAGCGTGTCTGGAATCAGTCACCTCAAGCCTGGCCTAGAATGTCAGTTCCTGCCACCATCTCTGCCAGGCATGGTCAACTCACACCAGAGCTGAGGCCCACATGCCCTCTTCAGCCTTCCTGTCTCTCCCCTCTTGAACTTGGGTGATCATATGAGTCCTTTCCAGGCACTTGAAGCCTTCCAGGTCCCAGCTGCTGTCCCATTGGGTACTCTTCACCACATCTATCCCTCGGTATCCCTCAGAAGCTGTACTTGGATGGAACCAGGGAAGACACTGACCTGTGTCCCTGCTGTTACAGGCGTCCTGGACCTGGGGTCCTGAGGGCCAGGGGGCCATCCTGCTGGTGAACTGTGACCGAGACACACCCTGGTTGCCCAAGGAGGACTGTAGTGATGAAAAGGTCTACAGCAAGCAAGGTGCCAGTGGGGCCACACTGGGGGACGGTGGGAACATGTGTGTCCTGTCCCGGGCAGGGCAGAGGTCGAGGCAGGAGATAATGATTCAGATGTTCAGTGCTCAGAAGGCATGACTGTAAATACAGTTCAACTGCACCGTTACATGCATGGGTAGAGGGAAACCTGGAGGGGCCGGCAAGATGGCTCAGCAGGTAAAGTCACTTGCCACCAAGCCAGACGACTTGAATTCAATTCCTGGAACCCACATGATAAAGAGAGAGAATAGACTCCCGCAAGCTGTTCTCTGACCTACATACACACACACACACACACACACACACACACACACACACACACACACACACACACATGAGACAGGCAGATCACTGTAAGTTCAAGGCCAGCCTGGTCTGCATATGAGAAAAAAGACTAGAGAAAAGGAAATTCCCAAAGGGTTGACCAATTCTCCCAGGCAGGAGATAAGTTCCTTTCCCTCAGGCTTCTGGGTAGTTCCCATGATGCATGGGGGGGCCTTGTCCTGGTGGGAAGAGTAAAAGCAACGGTGAGACCTGCTCTCACAGGCCCTCCCCCAACCTTCTTTATCTACCCACAGACCTCAAGGACATGTCTCAGATGATCCTGCGGACCAAAGGCCCTGACCGCCTGCCCGCCGGGTATGAAATAGTCCTCTACATCTCCATGTCGGACTCGGACAAAGTGGGCGTATTCTACGTGGAGAGTGAGTGATCATTGCCCCACCTGCCCACCCAGAGCCCTTGCGGCCACTGCCCTTCTCTCTGCACAGGTGCCCAGGCCTGTGGAGTCCATGGAGTGACACACAGATACACATCTCTCGTCCCCCAGGGAGATTCAATGGCCTGTGCCCACATACTTTTCTCAGTGACCAGGGGAGGAAGGGCCTTTGAAGTCAGGGTCCTGTTGCCTGCATGATACCTGAGACCAGATACATACTTGCTCTAGGTGTTGTCTGGCATTTCTGATTTTCAAAGGTCCCTGGAGATGATACCATGGCTGCCCTTCTTCCTCCTAGTGACAGGGTGTCCTGGGTGCCACTCTGTATGAACCTTGGAGCTATTCATCTAATCTTCTTATGCCATAGAGTCACCCGGGTGCCAATACAGTAAACATACCTGTCCCCTCACCCCCTCTGCCCTGGAGGAGCCTCCCCTGAGTGAGGAAGACATGTCAGAAGAAATGGAACAGATCAGGACCCAGGAAACATTAGCACAGAGGCTGAGCTGGCTAGGTGGTCCAGAGAGGCTTCTGTGGGGAGTAACATTTGAGATGAGACTCAAAGGAAACAAGGAGAAGGACCTGGGGAGGAGCTGGGAGGAGCTGGGGGGAGCTGGGGAGGAGCAGGGGGGAGCTGGGGGCGGAGCTGGGGGGAGCTGGGGGCGGAGCTGGGGAGGAGCAAGCTAAGGAATGGGCATAATGTACAGCAAGCTCAGAAGAGGGGGCTGGTTCAGTGCTTCAGAGAAACAGAAAGACCAGGCTGGGCAGTAGGAAGAGAGGTGGTGGGTGGATGCTTAGAGAGCCGAGGTCAGAGCGAAGACACAGTTTATGTTTTGTTCTTAGTGCAGTGGAGGGTCACCTCAGAGGTTTTGTTTTTGTTTGTTTGTTAAGATAGGGTTCCATGGTCTCTAACTCCATATGTTGTAGCTGGAGTTTTCTCTCTGTGTCCCGCTGAGCCCCTGCAGTCCGACAGCCCACTTATAAAATAAACACACAGATGCTTATATTATTTACAACTGTATGGCCATGGAAGGCTTCATGCTAACTGTTCTTATATCTTAAATTAACCCATTTCTATAAATCTATACCTTGCCACGTGGCTTGTGGCTTACCGGCATCTTCACATGCTGCTTGTCATGGCGGCGCCTGGCAGTGTCTCTCTCTGACTCAGCCTTCCACTTCCCAGAATTCTCCTCTCTCCTTGTCCCGCCTATACTTCCTGCCTGGCCACTGGCCAACCAGTGTTTTATTTATACAGAATGATATCCACAGCAATATGTAGGGAAAGGAGGATGACCTTGACCACCTGACCCTCCTGTAGCCATCTCCCAAGTGCTGGGATTAAAGCCACTTGCCACCATCATGCCCCATTATGTGGTGCTGAGGATCTAACCAGAGCCTGGTAGACACTGAGCAAGCGCTCTACACCTGAGTGCATCCCCAGCCCCCAGAGGGGGTGGGGCAGGACTGCTAAGATTTTCTACCCATGCGAAGAGTCCCTCTGTAAAGCATCTTGAGGTTAGTCAGGTGTTGTGGGACCTCCTGTGTGAAGGCCAGAGCCTTGGGCCTCACCCTGGGACCCCTTCTGGACAAATCCACTAAAAACAGGCAGGACCCTGACTTCAAGGAGGGACTTAGCTGGGACACTAGTGGACAGAGCCCTATGATGCTCCTCTCTGGGCTCTGACAGATGGTTGAAGTCAGGCTGGCTCCGCTGCCCCAGGGGGCTGAGAAGTTGATGTTCGCATGGTCCAGATGAGAGTCACCCAGCGGCAGAAGGGAACCAGGAAGACCCAGTCTGGGCTTTGACTCAGCCTTGGCGTTGACCTGTGGCTGATATCAACATCCGGGCATTCTCTAGATGCTTCTTTGCTTTGCTAACTGGAGCATACTCAGGCCTGGGTCCATTCTCACCTCTCCACTGACCATTGAGATGGGTCCTGAGCAGGCAAGAAAGCTCCCGCCGCAAGCGGGCAGAGAGGATCCCCTGGATGTCTTAGCTGGACCACCGTCCTAGAGGGAGGGTGGCTGCTGGGTCAGGGACCACCTCCCTAGTCACCTCCCTAGTCACTCCCTAGTCACCTCCCTAGTCAGTTTCCCTCTAGATATGGACTCCAGCTGTCTGCATTTCTGCATCTGTGATAAAATACTCTGGTAAAAACAGTTTAGAAGAAAAAGGGTTTATTATTTATGCATCTCACCGTTCCAGGTTACCGCCCATCATAGCAGGGAAGCCGCAGTGGCAGCTTAGCTCATTTTTCTTTTCATTCAGTCCAGCGTCCAGCCCATGAAACGGTGCCTGCCACACATTTTAACTCACCTCAGTTAACCAATTAAGAAAAATCGTTCACAGGCATACTCACAGGCCACTCTGGACAGTTCCTCATTGAGACTTCCTTTCTCAAGTGAGGCTATATTGTTATCAAATAGACAGTCGCCCAGGGGAATACTCTGAGTCACCAGGGCCCAGCAAAAGGGACAATTAATCTTATTCTTTGGTCCAATATCCTTTTCTTCCATGTGAGCCGATGGGGGATTTGGTCAAAATCTGAGTACCTTGTGTGTAATGTGTCATGTTACTTCAGTGTCATGACCTGTGTCCTAGGAGAGACAGACAGTCCAGTCTCCCACAGGGTCAGGAGCTGGGCTCTGGGATCCCTGAGGGCCCCTCTGTGGTGTGGGGTGGACTGCACTGGGGTCCCCACTATCATGCTGGCCCATGGAAAGCTCTGTAAAAAAGTAGCTTTTGCTTTGGCTGGAGTTATATGAACTGGCAATTATTATGACAGAATTCTCCAATGCTCCTTGGAGGACCTAGAAAATTACTCTCCCCAGGACCCCCCAAATTTAGAGACTTACCTTCTCCCCTGAGGACACAGTAAACAACCTGCCCCCACTTGTCCAGCACCTCCCTGGTTTTTGGCACTGGAGGTCGGTCATGCCAAGACACCCTTCCATCACAGGCAAGCCGAGACCAACGGTTACACTATCCGTCTCTTTGCAACTGGAAAGGTTGTGCCAAACCAGGCCATGCGCTGGCCAGCCAGGGCAGATGACTGGAGCTCAGGAGAGGCTGGGGGTGCTGGCAGGTCCAGCACAAGGCTGTGGGGGCCACTCAATAGAAGTGCATTGTTGGCACTTGCAAGGACAGCCAGCCATGCCGGCGGTGGCGAGATCTGCACCGAGCTGGAGATCCTGAACAGCAATGGAGGCTCTTTGAAACAAGGGTTGTGTTGTTCCTGCATGAAATTCAATCTTCCTGGCGCTGGCACTAACTGCCAGAAAGCAGCCCCAAACAGAGACGCATTGTGGATCACAAGGCATAGGCTACGTGGGGAAGAGAAAGGCGCCAGCTGCCAGCCACTGTGCAGAATGCATCCTCCGGCCAGACCCGCCTCCCTCTGCCCATGAGAGCCTAGGTAAACTCAATAGCTATAGCTTCTGTAAAATCAGGGTGCCTTCTGTGTTTGACATCACTCCCATGAGATCAGCTGAGGTACAGCCTGTGTCTTGTGGGTGTCATGGGTAGGGAAGGGGAGCCACCATAGAGACACATCCAACTGGATCCGAGCAGAGACTGGGTCTAGGGCACCTGCCGGCAGTTTGGGGTGAGAAGGACACCACCTTCCATGCTGGGCTGGGATAGGGTGCTTAGGACCTGCAGGGTCAGGGTTATGCATCTCAACGCCCAGCCCCACCTCCGGGAAGCTGAAATGCCACTTCTGTGCCTCCCATCTGGAAGGCACTGGATGGCAAAGTGGTGAGTGACAGCGAGGGGCACACTAGCCACATCCGGCTTCTCCTCCCAGGACCCTTAGGTTCCAGCTGTGTTGTTACCCGCGTCCCCAAGGTTACTGAAGCCACTGATGCTGTGTCGCCTGCAATGACCCTATAAGACAGGGACTGCTCTCCCCCAGTTAGCAGCTGAGTGACCTGTTTGATAGGTTAATGGAGTTCAGAGAAGGTTTGTAACTTGCCGAGTCCAGATGACGCCTGACCTGAGGTCCCTCTGACTTGGGAAGTCAGGAAGGTCACTTGTTCATGGTGCCATTCATAATCAGGGTCCCGGTGAGCACACAGTCCTAAAGCAGGTGCTGTCTCAAGCCTGTGTTTTGGGATACATTGGACTTGACAGATTTTAGCCCTGTATACCGGGAATGGTCCTGATCTGTGTTCTAACCCTTGGGCCGCTGGTCATTAACCAATGTATTGTCATTGAAAGTGCTGAACGGAGCCTGATCTGCCCTTCCAGTTTCGCAGGGCCTAAAGAAGGTGCTTCGGGAACTGTGTAGGGTCCTCTCTCCAGGCCTTTGCCAATGCAAGTATCTCTTTCCCTCTACATCTTTGCAGGCACCCTGTTGCCCCACCGGGGTGTCTCAAAGCCACTTCCCTCTGCTCAGAAGTCTCCCCTGCCTCCCTGCCCTTCCCTGCCCTGAGTAACAGACAAGATCTCCGCCATGACACTGCCGTTAGATGCTCCCCACATCCGCTGTCTTATCATCAGCTGAGCATCCCTCTTAGACACAGAGGCTGCACCGTGGCCTTTGACTCCCTGAAGGTCTTCGCTCACACTGGCCCAAGTAATTCAATTAATTCATGGGCTCTGGACCAGCCCTGGAGTCCCCTGTGGGCCTCTCCCACAGGGACTAATGGGAGTCATTGCTTCATTCAATGGACGTTTTATTAAACGTGACCACGTGCCAGACAGGCAGATGGCCTGGCAGGGCTGTCTCTCACCTGGCAGCATGCATTTGTACAGGCTGAGATTCAGAAGGTCCACATGGACCCTGGCTTGCTCTCTGGGAATCCACAAAGGACTCCCTGAAAGGATTAAGGACACCAGTCTTCCAGGCAGAGGGAACAGCACTGTAAAGGGCTGGGAGTTTCACAGGGCAGGAGTGTCTGCCTTCCTACCCAAGATCCACACAGTGGAGCGTCTACACTACAGAGGAGAATTTCTCAAACAAATGGCACACTGGTGTTTTATTCATACAAAGAGAATAGGAACTTGGCATTCGGAGTTAGACGTGAATTGGAGGCCCTGCCTAGCCATTGCTGAGCCCATCTCCTCCTCTGTAAAATGGGAATAACGCCTCCCTACTGCTTTGCTAGCCATGCCGTTCCCATCTACCCTCATCCCCCAAACAGCTCATTTTCCAGATGAGGAAGCCAGAAGCCAGCGGGCCACACGGCCTCCCAGACTATGACAATGGCCAGTTTGCACCGCCCTGGGCTGCTTTCCACTTGTGCGTTTCTCTGTGTCTAACGGACAAGTCACTCTGCCCCTTGCCCCCATCAGAGAGCTCCCTGAGCTCCTGAGGGGAGAGGGTGCTAACACGGGTCCACCCCCTACAGACCCGTTCTTCGGCCAGCGCTACATTCACATCCTGGGCCGGCAGAAGCTCTACCACGTGGTGAAGTACACGGGGGGTTCTGCGGAGTTGCTGTTCTTCGTGGAAGGCCTCCGTTTCCCCGATGAGAGCTTCTCAGGCCTGGTCTCCATCCACGTCAGTCTGCTGGAGTACATGGCAGAGGTGAGAGCCACGGGCCTCCCCTGTGCAGCCGTGCCCCTGGCTCGGACCCGGGAACTGCGACGGGGCAAAGTGTGAGTGAAGGATAGGAGCGAGGCCTTTCTAACCATGTGACTTGACAATTCTTAGTCTCCCGATCTGAAAAGTAAGGATTACAGTAGCATCTGTCTCCTGGGAATGAGTTGGTACAGGCAACAATGCTTGGTATATGGAACTGGAGAGACGGTTCAGCAGTTAAGAGCACTGGCTGCTCTTCCAGAGGAGTGAAGTTCATTCCCCAGCACCCACGTGATAGGCAGCTCACAACTGCGTGTAACTCTGGCTCTAGGGGAATCTGATGCTCTCTTCTGACCATCATGGGCATTACACACACATGCACATCACACACACACAGAAACACAAACCCACACATACACACAAAAACAATACTTGGCACAGTTCCTAGCATACAGTAAGTGCTCAGTAAATGCATTGTTGTCGGTCTCACCCACCGAGAGGGAATCGGGGACCACAAGTACCCCAATGTGACTCACCGGTGCTCCTCTTCTCCCACACCCAGGGCATCCCACTGACACCCATCTTCACAGACTCGGTGATGTTCCGGATTGCACCGTGGATTATGACCCCCAACATTCTGCCTCCCGTCTCCGTGTTCGTGTGCTGGTAAGGGACAGGCCTGGTCCACAAAGCAGTGTGGCAGAGTGGTCAAGCACTGGCCTTCAGGGTCAGACGGACCTAAATCCAATTCCCGTCTCTGCCACTTAGCAGCTGTATGACCTGCAGCAGTTCACGTGGTCTCTCTGTGCCTCAGTTTCTCTGAAATGCACGTACCACAGGCTTGCTGTGAGGATTGAGATGATGCCTCTGCATCTAGCCGTGTATCCTGGCTCAGGCTGTGTGCCGCAAAGGCCATGTTTCCCCCTTCCTTCTCACTCTCTGCCTCTGCTGTCCCCAGCTCACTTTGCTCACTGCTCCATCAGGTTTCTACTGAGTGTGCAACGTGTGCTTGGTTAGCACAGCAAGACGAGCGGGAAGGGCGAGAAGCCGCTAAAGCGTATGACTGACAGCTCCCTAGTGACCCTCTGCCCGCCCTTACCCTTCCTGTTAGGCTCTCCCACATCCCAGGCATAACACTGTCCAAAATCTGGGGAGTCAGAGAGCATGCGTGGGTGGTAGGTCCCTTCCTTGTCTTATATCCGTGAGACCTTGATAAAAAACTGCGTAAGCGGGTGGGGTTACGTGGCCCACGGCCCCAGTGGCCTTTACAAAGTGGCTGTGGACACAGACGAGCCTTCATCACCACAACTCAGTCCAGAGTGCCAGCGGCTGTGACCGCCCCAGACGGGCGGCACTTGCCCCCCTCACTCTTCCTCTCGGCCTCTTCCTGATGCTCCTCAGCATGAAGGACAATTACCTGTTCCTGAAAGAGGTGAAGAACCTGGTGGAGAAGACCAACTGTGAACTGAAGGTCTGCTTCCAGTACATGAATCGTGGAGACCGCTGGATCCAGGTGAGAGGGGCCCGGGCCCAGGGGAAAGACGCACAAGGGCTCTGGCCCCGAGGCTTGCTGTGAGCACCCTGGTGCCCAGCTGCCTGCGTGTGTGTGGATTCCCGTCTGCTCATGTGCACAGAGACCTTTGAGAACAGGTGTGGCTTCTAGTGGAAGCCTAGACTGAAACCATCTGTATCCATCCTTGGAGGCTGGTGACACCCTCACAGGGAGTACTATGTGGCAATTAAAAAGAAAAAGGCCAGTCTGTGACTAAAGACACAGAATATGCTTGAGTTTCTACTTGGAAGGAAATATATTTACGATACAGCTATTTATGTTTTTTAAATGAGGTTGGTGTCACTAAGAGATTGCTGTGTGACTTTTGCGACGGGCAGAGGCAGTCTGTGGAAAGATGCCCTGCCATCATTTGCTTATTAGGAGGAGAGCTGGGGACTGGAGGCAGGCAGTGAACGATTCACACTTCCCAAGCGAGGCCCAAGTGTGCTCATTTTGTGTTAAATCTTCTCATTACGTTGATTCGCTGGGGTGGTGCGCACATCACAACCCACACGTGGAGGAGGTCAGAGGGCAGCTTGGAGCAGTTAGTCCTCTCCTTCCATCGTGTGGGTCTGGGCATCAAACTCACGCCATCAGGCTCGGCAGTGAGCCCCTTGACCTGCTGAGCCGTCTCACTGGCTCGATTTTGTTTTCGTTTGTGAGCCAGGTTCCCACTATGTAGCCCAGGCTGGCCTTACGCTCTCAAGCGCCTGGCCTCTGCCTTCTGAGTTCTGATGACAGGGTACACTGCCATGCCTTGTTTGCTTGTGCTTTTTATGTTTGTTCTGTAACAAGGTCTCCCATATCCCAGGCTGGCCTTGAACTCACTGTGTCATAGAGAATGACCTTGAAATTCTGATCCTCCTGCATTCACCTCCCAAGTGCTAGGATTACACGGGCATGTGCCACCATGCTCGATGTATGTAGCAATGGTGCTTGAACCCAGGACTTCATGTGTGTTAGCCAAGCACTCTACCGCCTGGGTTATATTCCCAGCCCCTTGTGCTTTGAGTTTTCTAAACCAGGGTCTCAATATATAGCCCAGGCTGGCCTCATACTCTCCAGCCTCCTCCTATGTAGCCCAGGCTGGCCTCATATTCTCCAGCCGCCTCCTCTGCCTCCTGAGATCTGGGATTGCACCCCCATCCATCCTGCTCCAGACACCCCTAGGTACCACTACAGCTGAAAGCCCTCCTTATTTTCCTCCACAGGATGAAATCGAGTTTGGCTACATTGAGGCACCCCACAAAGGCTTCCCAGTGGTGCTGGACTCCCCTCGAGATGGAAATCTGAAGGACTTCCCTATTAAGCAGCTCCTGGTGAGATGCTGAGGGTCACCTGGGGGTGACAGTGGGGACAGAGGACAGCACAGTCAGGTGATGTGGGGCACATGAGAATAACTAGTCTTCCACTTAGGGCCTCTGTTTTCTCATCTGCAAGATGGGTCAGTGGGCCCTGAGGTCCAAGGCCATCTCTACACTGGGAGAACGGCCTTGTGGGAAATGAGAACCATGGGAAGCAGAGCAGGGCCCAGGTCCAGAGGCCTTGACCCGTGCTGCTGCCCCAGCCCTCCGACTTGTAGCTAAGTAAGCTTCAAAAGAGGCCAGGCAGAAGTCTACAGATGTCACCGCTCACCGGGACTCCATGGATGTGACTCTCAGTGCCATGGGGTTTATTAAAGCAGTTTGGCTCCTCCCCATCCCAGGAAGCCATTGTCGTCCCCACTTTGTGGCCTCCAAGCCATGTGGAGGACTGAAATATGCCTCTCTGCGTCCTCACTCTTCACACTGAGCCAGAAGCCGGCATGGAGCATGTTACAGAGACACCGGCAGATCTGGCTTTCCCACAGTCACGTTCAGGACAGGACCCTGCTATAGATGTCAGGCCATTCAGAGGTGGCCCTTCCCAAGTCCCCTCTGGAGAGGAGGTAGAAGCAGCATGTGAGCCCCACTCTGGGATGACAGAGGAACCTGGTCTTGAACCCCCATAGCAGAAAGGGGACCTCGGGCAGGCTTCTGAACTTTCATAAGCCTCAGTGTGCTTCTGTAAAACAGGGAGATGTCGCCCAAGATTGTTACTCAATCGAGGCATGCAGAAGGCATGGGCACTATGCCTCATCAGCGGCCATCATGATGCAGTTTCATTGCCCCAGCCTGTAGACAGCCCTCAGTCGCCCTCCATGTGGGTACTGTCCATTTTCCCTGACCCTGGGGAGAGGGCCATCAAACTGACCGCCCCAGGACTACCACAGGCAGCGGGAATAAGAACCAAGCTCCCAGCCTGTCCTTTCTCTTCCCCTGGGCTCCATCTGTCTTCAGTGCTCCAGGCTGGCCTGGTGCCAAGGCCCAGCTGCATTGTTCCCAGAGGCCGGGCCAGGCCCGACTTTGTGCTGCATGCCTGCCGCCCTGTGTGATGCTGTAAAGCCCCAGCTGCCACCTGTGGCCAGCTCACACATGGCCAACAAGGGCCCCCGGGCGAGAAAGCGCTAAGCTGCTGCCATCCACCCCACCAGGCACGCCTGTCCCTGGAGCCTCTTAGCTGAGGCTCAGTAAACCATAGCTGCCTACCACGCAGGGTCTTTCTGTTGGTTGGTTTGGTTTTTTGAGTCAAGCAAGTTACTCCCTGCTCTAGTACAAACTCCCAAAGAAGATCTCTACATTTTTATCAAAAAAAAAAAAAAAAAAGAATATATATATGGAATCTTAAAATCCAGGGACAGGTAGGATCTTCCCTTCTTGTGTACAAAATCCAGTTTGCTGAAGTACTAAGGACCATTAATTAGGCCCGCTGTGGGCTTGATGGACAGGTGCTGTTGTTGGGACGGGTAGGAGTAACTATCAGTCAGCTGTCACTAGGTCAGGCCGCTGTGACAAATAAACCCCAAACCCTAGTAACTGGCAGTAGCCGGTCTCTCCTGCTGCTCACCGCCTGAACTGACGGCTGGCTGTGTCTCTGTGCCCTCATTCTAGAGCTACAGCCTGGCTGAGACCTGCCATTCCCCTAGTGTGGGAAGAAGAGAAAATGGGCCCTGCCAGCCTCCCATCTTGCTCGTATTTCATTGGCCAGAGCAAGTCATGTGACCCTGAGTTCCTTGCAGGGAGATGCCGGAAGTCATTCATAGTGGGTTCGGGTGCACAATTCACTCTCTGGGCAAGTCTAGCAAATCCCTGGGGATAATCTGTTCACCCCCTTGCCTCTGGTTGAAAACCCCTCACACAGAAATGGAAACCGAGGGCCAGAGACATTCTGAGACGGCCAGGAAGGTCAACAGAACGTGTGAGGCCAGATCTGGACATCACATTGTGTGCCTGTGCCTAGGGGGCAGGGCCCAGGCTGAGATGGGGTGCACACACATCACACCCACACTGCCTCCCTCACTGCGTCAGTGTGCTCACAGACTCCCTAATGGCGATAAGCTAGCCTCAGGTACAGCCATCCTTGAGGCTGAGAAGCCAGAGCGCCAGACTGCAGGTGGCACAGGGCGTCACCACAGAATGGCTGCTGAGGAAGAGGACTCCTGGCTGCAGGAGGCTAAAGGCAGATGCCGCCCCCCTCTCTCTGCCCAGGGCCCAGATTTCGGCTATGTGACCCGGGAGCCCCTCTTTGAGAATGTCACCAGCCTCGACTCCTTTGGGAATCTGGAGGTCAGTCCCCCCGTGACGGTGAATGGCAAGACATACCCTCTTGGCCGGATCCTCATCGGGAGCAGTTTTCCTCTGTAAGAGAACCCGGGTGGGCCTGGGGGTGGCACAGGAGCACGATTGTCCCTTTGGGAGTGGCCTGGAGTGAATGTGCCTAGAGTGAATGTAAGGGGGACATATCCCTGATGCAGTACACTGTAAATCAGCAGACGCCAGTGGAAAGAAAGCCATGTTAGCCTTTACACCTCAGTATAAATTAAGATCTAATATGCAATCCAACAATTGTCTTCCACAAGTGGGAAGGTGTATAGTGAGATGTAGGCCAGGTGAGGCAGGGGCGTGGGAGCCTAGTGAAGGAACACTGGCAGAGGAGAGCGGGAGAGTGGGGGGCTGCCTGTAAATGAGAGAGAGACAAGGGATGCCCTGCCTCACAGGCACGAGTCCCTGGCTCCTTTGGCTGTCCATGATAACTGTACTCTCTGCCCAGCCAATGAAAGGCCGATTCTACCTTGATCTAAACAGTTGCTGGGAGAAAGTGAGCAGCTTGGGTCCTCACTTCTGAAGAGCTGCCTGGAACCTGAGGTTACCCAGAGGTTACCCTCTGACCCACATGGAATGTTCTACTATCTAGGGGACATGGGTAATGACCATTAGCCCACCGTCCCCTAATCCACTGGTCACTCATCCGCTCAGCAGCTACTTCTGTGCCTCAGTGGAGTACTGAGCCCTTGCCCTGCCTTGGAGGAGATGATGAAAGTCACAGACATGTCTTTAGCTGCTCACTGGCAAACTCCAGGGCAAAGGCTGAGCTCTACACCCTCCACATCGGTTTGACTGTGCCCTCTTCCCACCCGGGGCTCCAGTACCTTCTTCCTGCACCAGGGTCTCAGCTCAGGCTCCCACCTGTGCCCTTGCTGGTAACACCCAGCGTGGGTTCCAGATGCTGAACATCTCGTCCTGGGACTGCTCTGGTGCAGGAATAACCACAAGGGTAACCTGCTAAAAGTCTCCTCTTCTCCAATCCTGCCCTAGGTCTGGAGGCCGGAGGATGACCAAGGTGGTGCGTGACTTCCTGCAGGCCCAGCAGGTGCAGGCTCCCGTGGAGCTCTACTCCGACTGGCTGACTGTGGGTCACGTAGATGAGTTTATGACCTTCGTCCCCATCCCAGGCAAAAAGGTGAGCTGATCCCCAAGACTAGAGTGAATTGCATAGCCAAGAATCCATGCATGCAGGGCCTTGCCAGCAGAGGGTCCATACTTTGACCTGATGTTATTGCCCAGGATAGAAGAAATGTGAGACAGAGGACTCTCCCAGGAAACCAAGACATTCAGCATGGGAGGCAGGAAGTGCTTTGCAGTCAGGGCCCTAGTCCCTCTGACGTCCTGGCCATCTTCCCTCCCTGACAGTACCATCCACTGGGGTGTCTCTTGCAGGAATTTCGGCTGCTCATGGCCAGCACCTCAGCCTGCTACCAGCTCTTCCGAGAGAAGCAGAAGGAAGGCCATGGGGAGGCCGTTATGTTCAAGGGTGAGTGTCTTAGTTGGGGTTTTTGTTGCTGTGAAGAGATGCCATGACCATGGCAACTCTTATAAAGAAAACATTTAATCTGGGCAGCTCACTTACAGTTCAGAGGTTCAGGCCTTTATAATCATGGCAGAGAACATGGTGGCATGCAGGCAGATGTGGTCTGCAGGTGTAGCTGAGAATCCTATGTCTTGCAGGAAACAGGAAATCAACTAACACACTGGGCAGTATCCTGACCATAGGAGACCTCAAAGCCCACCCCCACAGTGACGCACTTCCTCCAAGGCCATACTCACTCCAACAAAGCCAACCTCCTAATAGTGCCACTCTCTATGAGATTATGAGGGCCAATTATATTCAAACTACCACAGTAAGTGATCATAGGCCCTTAGCAGGAAGCCCCAGGGGCCCTCAACAGGACCTTGTCTCTGAACCCAGCTCTACCACCAAAAATCATGCATCGCTGGGGATGCACAGTCAGTAGAGTGCTTGCCTAGCATGCACAAAGTCCTGGGATGGAAGCCAGGACCTCCCTCCATGATCATGCATGCTACTGCTAAGCCACATACCCCTCCGGCCCTCCCCCAGAAATGTAAAGAGGGGGAGAGAAAGGCGCTGATGTTGGGAAGGGGAGTGGTTTCGGCTGACATCGTGCCTGCAGGGCCTGGAGCGAGACTCGATCTCCCTCCTAAGTGGGGCAGACCTGGGGATGAGTTTTGCACTTGAATTAATCATGAGAAAGAGAATCCGCTGCGGAAACCCACCAGCCAACAGGGTGAGAGAGGCCACAGCACCTCTGCCCTCTCTTACTGTGGTAAAATAGACACAGCCTATTCGTCATCCTCACCACTTAGAATCCAACGTATTACAGCGTTGAATAATAACCTCTGTGGTCTCTGTCCCGTTTGGCATTTTTTAAAGTGACTCTTTGCCACATCTTAGGCTAGTATCCTGACGCTCAAAGTCCACTGGCTAATGCTTATGCTATCGTCCTCCTTGTCCAAGGCATGCAACTGAGTGTTACTGATGTCAAGGACAGACCCACTTAAGACCCCCATCCTTTTGTGCTAGCGACCTGATGGCGAGTTTTTCCTGGGTTGCCAGGCATGAGGCTTGGCTTTCTAGGACCTTCCTTTCTATCTTAAACTTGCCTCAAATGCTGCCCACGTACCCCATGGTTAGAGGTACTGATACAGGTGAGCCGTGATGTGGCGGAAGCCTAGGGGCAAGGTCCCATAGCCCTGATCTCTTTGGTGCCGTGGTGCTTCAAGTCTGGGACGTGCCAAGAGCTGGCAGGCTCTTCCTAGATCAAACAAAAATCAAATATAACAGGTCTTAACACCTGGGAGGCTGATGCAGAAAATTGTGGGTTCCAGGCCACAAGTTTATAGAGACACTCTATAAACAAAAAATTAAAAGGAGCCGGGCAGTGGTGGCACACGCCTTTAATCCCAGCACTAGGGAGGCAGAGCCAGGCGGATTTCTGTGAGTTTGAGGCCAGCCTGGGCTACCAAGTGAGTTCCAGGAAAGGCGCAAAGCTACACAGAGAAACCCTGTCTCAAAAAACAAAAACAAAAACAAAATTAAAAGGAAAAAACTTAATCAAATATACAAGGCAGGCAGATCTATGAGTTAGAGGGCAGCCTGGTCTACAGAGTGAGTTCCAGGACAGCCAAGGCTACACAGAGAAACCCTGTCTCGAAAAAAAAATATATATATATTATATATATATATAATATATATATATATAATATATATATAATATATATATATTGCAGTCAGTCTGCCTGTGTGGCCACTTGTAGTGTGACTCGTAGAACCTCTGTGCCTCAGCTTCCTGACCTTCAACAGTAGCTGGAACCTCATAGGGACACAGTGATGGGGAGGGGTACTGCTAAATTAATCCACATTAAACTTTCAAAAGACTGCTTTCTTGGCTGGGAGATGTCGTTCTATGGCAGAGTGCTTATCTAGGGTCTATGAGGTCCTGGTTTCCATCCCCAGCAGCGGGACCAAAGGACAAATCGCAGGCACTTGGGTGTCACTAAAACCTCGAGGCTATGGAGCTGGAGTCAAAGGCAGGCTCTCTCTGGGGTCCGGTATTGGATCAGCTACTAACCTTCTAACGGGGCGCCCAGGTGTCTGCTCCTCCTGCCAGAGAGAGCAGGATGCCTACACCCCCTTCCCGGCTTACGGCCATGGTGGATATGGAGAGAGAAATGTATGCTGCTTCCCTGGGTGGCTCAGATGGAACCCCCAGCTGCTAGCTAAGATTTCCTGTCACCCTCTGGTCCCCACAGGCCTGGGGGGAATGAGCAGCAAACGCATCACCATCAACAAGATCCTGTCCAACGAGAGCCTCATGCAGGAAAACCAGTACTTCCAGGTGCGGGAACAGGCGGCGGGAGGGGCCAGGCTCGCGTCTGCCTGCGGGTGGGGGGCGCTGAAAAGGTCGGGGGCCTGGGGCTTCTGGCCCAGAGGGGCCTCGGTGATGGATCTCCTTGCTGTGTTCGCATGCTGACAGGGGCAGAGGGCTCAAGACACTGAGATCCCAGCAGGAGACTTGGGAAAGCAGCAAGGATTGTGCTGACTTCAGTCTGTGTTTCCCACCCTGTTTATTTTACAGTGTGTCAGGTGTATGACTGTCAAGTCTGCCCGTTGTCAGGCAAGCTCGGCTGCTAGCAATTTTCTACTGTAAAGTTTAAGTTGGGGAGCTAGGCTAATAGAGCTTGTGGGGGCATAGCTGGACTAGCAGGCATTAGCAAGAGTCATTTTTTAAAATGAACCGTTAAGGTGGGCACAGGTCCAGAGCTCCAGCATTCTTTCAGACAAGCGCTTACAGAACTCCCCTTAAAACTCACTAAAGCTTCAGACTTGCCGTCCAGGACAATGCTGGCCTGAGTGTACCCCTCACTTGGGAGCTTCAGCACCTCACAGCTTTGAGGGGTTGGATCTGGGCTTGACAGTCTGGGTGCCCGAGTCTTAAAAGTTGCACATTGGTAGAGAAACCATTGAAAAAACAAACAAAGCCGGGTGGTGGTGGCGCACGCCTTTAATCCCAGCACTCAGGAGGCAGAGGCAGGTGAATTTCTGTGAGTTTGAGGCCAGCCTGCTCTACAAAGTGAGATCCAGGACAGTCTCCAAAGCTACACAGAGAAACCCTGTCTTGAAAAACCGAGGAAAAAGAAAAGAAAAGAAAACACAGGCAAACAGAAAGGAGTTCAAGGTGTTTGGTCTGTTTGAAATGGTTTCTGAGGCATTTAAAGAGACAGAATAGCCTGGAGCCTGGCCTCAACAGACTGGACTGTTTCTTTCCAACAGTGAGTGGCAGATGCAGCAGGAAAGGGGTGTCTGCTGAAGGGGGTGCTTGGGGTTTGTATAGGAGGTCTGAAGAGTGAGAAGTTCAATGCAACTTCCGAGGCTCCGAGCAAACCCAGACAATGCAGTTTTATCTTTAGAACCTGTCTGGCCCTTGCTACCAGGATGCGGGTCGTAGTGGGCAACAGAGTTGAACAAAGTGGTAAGGGGGGAGGGGCTGGAGTTTCAACATCGGGCCTTGGTCGGGGTCGGGCAGAGTTTGTCTAAAGTTTATGCCAACGCAAACCCTGCGGCTGTGTGGATCTCAGGCACAGGCTGATCGGGGCTCCGGCTCTCCCTGCTCTGTGTTTATTGGTATGTGCAGGTGCCCTCATGGCTGCAGAAGTTCAAAGCCTCGCGTAGACACTGCACACCACCTATGAAGACTTAGATGTCCCCCAGCATTGGAACGAGAACTTGATCTCACTCTGACTTGGGTCAACCTGAACTGGTCACTGTGGACAGGGAGTTTCCCAGCACCAGTTTGCTTAACCCTGAGTCACTGTTCACCCCTGGCCTAATCACTGGGGTAGCCGTGGCAAGAGCCCACCAATTAACTCTCACCAAAAGCTCAGAGAATCTGGCACAACCCAGCCATGCTCTGCAGTGTGGTGGGGGTCCAGGGGACAGCAGAGTCCCAGGGGAGCTACACAGGGCCAACTGAAGCTGTGCCAATGCCTCATTGGCTGCTGGGATGCTGACCTCTGACTATCCCTCCATGATCCCTGTGAGACACAAAGACACCCACACCCACACTCTGTAATAAGAGCTCGGGAGACAGAGTATCGGAAGCCAGGCAGTTTATCTTACAGCTTTGCAAAGCCCAGATGGCAGGTGCAGTGGTTGACGGCAGAGAGAGCCTTTAATCCCTAAGGCCAGCTCCTCCTCACCCTCCTTATTAGCCGAGTAATCGGGGACACAGCCCTCCAGGGTCACCTGAGTCTCTGCCACTTAAGTTTGTCTGTTTTTCAGCAAGGACTCTGAGGACTTCAGTCTGTGTTTCCCACCCTGTTTATTTTAGT